ACTTGTACTTATTATCTTGTAAACAATTGACAAATCAAATAAATAAAATAAATAAATGTTTAAGGAAGCTGGAAAGAGTTTTTAAGTCCCTAGAATGGGACAATAGATATAGGTCAATACTGCCCCCTAATGTTCTGATCAATTAACTCCATATGAAGAGGTCTGAATAAAAGGAAAATTGGGTTTTATATTCCCCTTAAGGTTGTATGGGTGTGAGAGTTGGACACTTAGACTGATCGAAGAATTGATGCCTTTGAAGTGTGGTACTGGTGTAAATTATCGCATATACCATGGAAAGCCAGAGTAAGAGAAAGGCTCAATTGTCAAAGACTACTTGTATTAGCATTCATAACTATGGCACCCTTGTCTGGTCTACCTAGAAAAGAACCTGATTGAGCAGTTAAAAGCAAAATCTCATAACTATTCCAGCTTTTACATTGCTAAACCATGATTGGCTATTAGTGTCCAATGTTGTGGATCTCCAGCTGAACGGTATGACACACTAAACCATGATTTAATCTATGTAGTAGTGGAACGTGGTAGCTCACAAGATTAGAAAAACCAGGCTGACTATCAGCAGGGTTATGCACGAGACTCGTTGCTGCTTCGGGGCAGGGTGAGCTCTCCTCACATGCTCCAGCTGCTGCTGACCCAACAGTCTGAAAGCGGGTGACCATGAATAGATAACTGGGTACCACTTTAGTGGTAAACTTCATGGACGGAGCTCCCCAGTTGGTTATCTGCCCAAGCAATGGAGATGTCACCGGGAAATTCTATCTATGTAGTCAGTGTTTGCACATTGGTTTATCCCGTTTGTAAACTCATCATTATCATTTTAGCCATTGTCTATCCACTCTGGGATGAAGACCTCTTCCATATCTTTTCAACCCATATGGTTCTGAGCCTTCTTTTCCCAATTGTGCCCGCAATATTTGCTGATGTTGTCGATTCATCTTGTTTTGGGTCTTTTTCATGGATGCTTTTTATTAAGTGGGATCCATTCTATGACCTGCCATCAGTTCTTCTTGCCATGTAACCAGCCATTTCCATTTCAATTATTTTACTCTTGTTGGGAGAAATATCCATCTGGTTCAGTTCCAAGCTGGGAGGAAGGCACTGGAAATAAAATGGAGTCTGGAGTCTGATTAGAAAGAAGGTTCATTTATTGATGAACAGAACCACGGGGATTTGTGGTTCTGATGCAGCTTACAAAAAGGAGTTGAGTGGAGGGGGTGTTATACCTTCTTTGGGCTTTGTATTTGAACTTCCTATTCCTGTGCAAGAACATGTCCTTTAATATTCTATTGGATATTTTTCAGATTCCTATGGGGTCATGTAGGAGTCAGAGCTGGCTTTATAGGCAAAAAAGGAAATGCATATCCTAGGTGTTTGAGCTAAGTTTGGAGTGCTCTGGAATTGGTGCAATGAAGGGGCTTGTTTTTTGAAAGGGAGTTGGGCAATTCCTATTGGGTCTTAATGGCTTTTGTCCTGTGTTAGATCTTGGGTGAGGCACTACTTCTAATCCTATCCTTCTTCCTTTGTTCAAACTTTGCTGCAGGAGTTTCAAAATATCCTGTCTTGAATGGATTCCTGCTGGCAGTATTTGCTTTGCTTATGAATAAGGCTATCTAGAGACTTGTCTTTCTCTTTCAAAAAGCTCTTTATTTCTTAGGTGCTGACATCTGTTGTGGACTATTAAGGAGAGGTGGGGGCTGCTTTCTGTCTTTAAAGAGTTTGTTTCTCCATTTCACATTTAGGGAAATTATAATATTCTGCCTTTTTTAATATTTCCCAAAATATTAAATGGGGGGGGGGCTTCCCACACATATGTTAGAGCAGGTAGCACACCCTTGAAGGAAAACTATAATAAGTTATTCTTTTATAATAGTGTTTTATGTATTGTTAAGCTAGAATATTCCTTTTGTTACATATTAAAACCCCCACCCTAAAACCCCAAAGTGTATTCAGCTAAAAGTATGTGGTGACTTGTTATAATTTTCTTGGAAAAAAGGAATATCTGCCCAGGGCCAGACAACAAGTAAATAAAATAGGGACATCCATCCAAGGCAAAGTCCAGAAGCAAAACAAGATAAGACATCCTTTGCATAGAAAAAAATGTCATATTGATCCTTTAACTTATACTTTAGCTTATAGTATGGTTTAAGATAGTAAGGGGGAGTTGGGAGGGCTTCTTAGGTGTGGCATGCATTGTGTAGTAGGGGTAATAAATGTATTGCTTGAATATGAGATTTTGCGCTTCATGATCTCAATCCATTTTGGGAAGGGACGTTTGCCTTTGCAAACACATTTTTAATAAACTTTCTTTGTTTGTACATCAGATTTGTCTGTCAAATTAGTGAGTATAAATTTTGGAAGGTTTCTAAATCTCACATCCTGATTGAAAACCTTTTTCTTCAGGCATAGGGAAAATTGAAAATTACACTTAGCTTGCTGAATGCCTGCCAACCACATTTAACACGCCGTTCAGCTTCCTGTTTGTGCAACTATTTGCTATGATGTTCTTCCATCTGTTTTGTTTACACTCTTTTCATTTCATGTAAACCGCCTAGAATAACTCCAAGGTGAGGCAGGCAGTAAATAAGTGTAAAAAATAAAATATGGAGTTGTTGTTTTTTAAAGCAGAGATCAATGCAATTTATCAAAGCAAGTAGCTTGTTTGCTCTACTACTGCTGGTCATATATAAGCCATAGAAGTCATATTTTGCCTCCTGAAATACAAGTAGTCCTCAACTTACAACAGTTCATTTAGTGACCATTCAAAGAGTGATGCAGTGGCCTAGAAGTGGAGTGCTTGCCTCATAATCAGAAGGCTGTGAGTTCGATCCTTGGTAGAGGCAGGTATTTCTCTCTGGGCACAATGAGAATTTATCTGCTGAATAAAATTCCGCATTGGTGACAGGAAGGGCATCTGGCCAGTAAACACTGCTCCATTCAGTTGCCCAGACTTCACCCAAGGGATTATGGGGTCATAAAAAGGAGATGATGATTTAGTGACCATTCAAAGGCACTAAAAAAGTGTCTTATGACCATTTTTCACTTACAACCATTGCCGCATCCCCGTGATTGCTTGATCAAAATACGGATTACTTGGGAACCGACTCATGCTTATGATGGTTGCAGTGTCCCAGGGTCATGTGATCCCCTTTTACGACCTTCTGACAAGCAAAGTCAATGGGGAAGTCTGATTCACTTAACAAACGGGTTATAAACTTAACAAATGCAGTGATTCACTTAACAACAGTGAGAAGGTTGTAAAATGGGGCAAAATACACTTATGTCTCACTTAGCAACATAAATTTTGGCCTCAGTAGTGATGTAAGTCGAGGATTGCCTGTAAAATAGCAGGGAAGAACACTGAGGAAGAAATAAAATAATTTTTTAAAATATTTTTCAAACCAGCCAATTAAAATGCGAGTCTGAGTACAGGGCGAGTATTGATTAGCGGTGGACGGGGAGGTCGCATTCCGCGTTTTTTCTTTTAATAGACGTCAAATGGATTCTGGGAACGACGTCGCGCTGAGCTTCCACCAATGGGCTTAGATAATTCGTTTACGTCAGTCGGCCAAAGCTACGTCAACTCATCCCCCTCTTTAATATAGAGACCCCTTTGATATTATTTGTAGTTCGATAACAGCCTATGACAATGTAGTTTAAATGATTGAAGGGGGTTCTAACCATAGACGGAGCTAGCCTTGGATATGGGTGGGACCAAAATGAACGGCCGAGGAGGGAAAATGACTGCAGTTGATACGATCGTTCCGTGTTCTCATCTCACGGCGAACAATAGCCGCGCCATGCTGAGTGACAGCACAAATAACCTCTCCTGTCGGAGCCTTGCCTCTTTCCTTTTCCCTCCCCATGGTCTTATCGAACCAGCTTGCGCGCATCCCCCCCCTGCGCTTGATCGGTGGCCAATGAGCGCGCCTGGGATGGTGGGCGGAGCTCCCACAGACCCGGCTGCACGGCGCAGAGGGCAGCTGGGGCGCCATTTTGTGAGGCGTTCGGGGCGCGAATGAGGCGAGCGTAGCTGTGAAAAGAGAGGGCGAAGCAGTATACGGTTACATAAATTAGACATTTAGATAAGCAAAGCGGCGGCGTGCTGGATCTGGGGCCTCCCGGTGAGTTCGTTGCCTGAAGAAAAACGCCTGACGGAAAGAGTGGCGACGATTTTTTTTTCTTCCCCCGCGCGCGTGAGGGGGGAGGGGAGTTCGTATTGCCCAAACGCCCCCTCAAGTTTTGGTCTCCGCTGCGGTTTTTCTGGACTCGCACCTCCTTCCCCCACTCCCCATTCAATGTATTGATGTCATCCAAGCCGATGACTTATTTGGGAGAGACCATTATGCTGGGCACAAAGGGGGGAAACTGCTTTAATGGTTCTTCCGTTCTGCGAAGGAGAGGAAAACGTGTGGCCGTCTGTGTGTGTATGTGTGTATTTGTGGTAGGCTAATGCGTTTATGTGGGTTGTAAGAATACTCAACCTATGGTATGTGCCTACCCCTGAATATATAGAAAGCGTGTGAGGTGCGCGCGCAGATCCCATTCGCAGGTATGGCTGCCGGCTTAAGCGAGGGAACACATGCTTGGATGTGGGGCCTGCCTGACCTTTATTAGGCGTTCAGGGTCGGATCTCCTTCGTCTAATCCGGATTGATAGTCCAGGTCAGGAAGACAAGATGCCAAATGCTTCAGCAGGTGGCACACAACAGACTGGACCTCGGGAAGCTACTGACAAATCCAGGTGGTGCTTGGATGGGAGACCACCAGGAGATCCCAGGGCTGTAAAATCGACCTTTAAAAAAAATTACCTTAGAAAGTAGAGGCAGAAGGCTGCCCCATTTGTTAAACAAAATAACTATTATTTTTTTTAAGGCGCGATATGAAGCTTTTACATGGGTGGCAAAAATGCCTAAGAGCACCAGAATTTGCACACTATCACATATTTGCCACGATCAGATTGTGATTTTTGGCAGATTTTTTAAAAATGCACATGCTGTCATAGACTAGAGAAGCTGAATTGCGGATGGTAAAACGTCTAAAAGCATCAGAATTTGCACACTATCACACACCATGATCGGATTGTGATTTTCAGTAGATTTTTTTTTTAAAACGTACATGCTATTATAGGCTAGGAAGGTTGAATTGTGGATATAAATTGCTTAAAAGCGTCAATAATGTGCACACTATATCGCACACTTACCATGATCAGATTGTGATTTTTGACAGAATTTTTTTTTAAACACACTTCATAAGCTAGGGAGGTTAAATGGCAGGTGGTAAAAATGCCTAAAAGTATCAGAATTGGCACACTATATACGTTGGACAGCTATCTGACATACATTTACATTGGAGCAATAAAAATAAGTGCTATTTCATGTAGTATTGCTACTGTAGACATTTTAGGGATTTTGCACTGGGAATGCATGTTCATTGTAAAACAAGTATATAGCATTTTTAGGAATAGAAACGTATTCCTTAAGTGTAAACAAATGCAGTTGCATTCAGTATGAATTTGTTCCCACGAAAGACTGACACAAAAAAATACTACTTCGTATTTTTTTAAAGAGAGTTTTATTCATGCTAATTTCTGTAAGTGACACAAACTTCAGAAGGGCTTGCCTTTATATTTTTAGAGCAAAGGCACATTTCTGAATTAACAATTTATTTGATAGAAACAGACTGTGTGCTGTGTTTGCCAACAAAAATGATGCAACTCGTAATGCATTTTTTCTTTGAACTTGTGCTTAATGTTTTAAACTTGCATGAGCTAGTTTGGACCAGTGTCAGGTTTAGGAGGAAGTCCTTTTTTAAAACCAGTTGACAGGGTGGGATATTTTGTATCCTTCTATTTCTCCCCCCCCCCCTCTCTCTCTGCTTTGCTTGCAGTCCCTGATATGAAAAATGAAAGTTTGAAAAGCAGTTTGCATTGAAGGGCTGATAGATTAGTCTCAGGTTGAAAACAACAATGCCTTTTTTTGTTTTTTGTTCTTGTTTCATAACAAGATAGCGTCTTGGCAAGAATCCATACCAATCTTAACACTTTTCAAACAGTGCAGTTGTAGAGATGCAAGAATTCTGCACGTGTTAACAGAGCCCGAAGTTACCTTGCTACCAATCCAATGATTGAAGTTGTAACATAAGAGGGGTAACAAATGCAAATAACCTAAGAACACTCTGGCTACACGGAATAGGTAGTCCTCCATTCATTTAGTGACTATTCAAAGTTGCAACAGCACTGAAAATGTCTTATGATCATTTTTCACATGACCAAAGCAACAGTTTGATTGTCACATGATAAAAATTTGGATCCTGGGCAAATTTTATGATAGCATGTATTTATGATGGATGCCGTGTCCATTGTGTGATCACCTTTTGCTCACCTGGCAAGCAGAGACAATGAGGAAGCCAGATTCACTTTAAGTGGGTTACTAACTTCACAACTGCAATGATTCCCTTAAGGACTGGCAAGAAAAGTCATAAAATGGGACAAAACTCATTTAACTGTCTTGCTTAGCAATGGGCTGAACTGTGGTCGTAAGTTGAGGACCACTTACAAGTTCATAATTCACTCCCAAATTTGATCATAGCACTGTATATAATTCTCAGCATGAAAAGGCACAGACTCCCCAGTCATAATTTGCACATTACACACACACAGACATGTTTTCCAATATTCTTACTATACTACAGTGGGTAAGTTATAATGGCAAGAATTTGCTCTAGGCCAGGATTTAAATCCACAACTAGACAATCACAAGTGAAGTATCTGGTCTTTGACCATCCACCAACACAGGTACAACCATGGTTAAGTTCAAAATTTAATGTTGCTAAGCGAGACATTTGTCAAGTGAGTTTGGCCCCATTTTACTACCTTTCTTGCCACATTTGTTAAGTGAATTGTTGTAGCTGTTAGTCACGTGGTTGTTAAGTGAATCTGGCTTCCTCATTGAATTTGCTTATTTAGAAGGTTTGAACTTAATTTTTGCCTAGATTTCTGTTACCAAAACTTAACTGTCCCAATAGTCAGGAAAGCTTCTATGGCCACCCGCAACTTGAATTGGTCAACAACTTGTGTAAGCTGATCTGTAAAAGCTTTTTCTGATCATCTGAGTAGAGACTTAGGTTTACTTACACATTGCTGTGTTTTTCTCTTGATAAATTCCAAAATGGCTTGTTCTTAAGCTTGCATCTTGTTGCATTTGGGATCAGACTGATCATTTGAAAGACAGGCTGTTTCTCCCCCAGAGAAAACAACACTGAGGAAGTGTCAAGGAAAAGTGAAATTAATACAGGTATAATTCTTGAGTTACGACAGTTCACTTAGTGACCATTCAAAGTTACGTGATGACCTCTCCCCCCTCCCCCCAAGTATTTACAACACAGTCCCAAAATTATGCATATTACAGCACCACGGCAGTAGTTCAACCTTATAAATGTCCGCAGAAGCACTACAACATTCATCCTTCCTATCCCAGCCAGCGGAGTCTCCAGAATTGCTATCCACCAACCCATCCTGCCATGTCAGACTCACTTGCAAAGATCTGTCTCCTCTCTGGCACGGTTTCTTTGAGAGCGGGACGATTTAGCTTCCAGCATCCGATCGACTTGCAAATATTTTGCATGGAGACTGGAAGCTTCTGGGGGCCGTGATCTTGTGGGACTTCAGGCAGCGAAGTCATGGTCCCCCCCCTCCCAAAGCTGCTCCGTGCAATGTTTGCAAGCTGCTAGGAGGCTTTGAGGGCGTGAAATCATCCCACTCAAAGCGTCCCCATCGACTTGCAAATGTTTTGTGCGGAGACTGCAAGCTTCCAGGCACCATGATCTTACGCGGCAGAGAGGCTGCAGAAAAGACAGCTCACTAGATCTTCATCAGGTAAGTGACCCGGCATGGCAGGATGGTGGGGGGAAACTTGTTGGGAGCATGAGGTATCTCAGTGGGTCCGGGGAGACCTTGGGTGGTCTTAAGGAGGTGGTCTGTTCTATCACTAGACCCCCCCCCATGGCCTTCCCCCCCCTGAGATACCTCATGTGCCCTAAATGACCTGCGCATTCAATTAGCGAATGCTTGGGCAAAAGCATTTTCACGTTCATTTAATGAATCCTCAGGTTACAAATGTAATTGGCAGGGTCCATTATATTCATAAGTCAAGGATTACCTGTAATTTAAATAGGTATGGGTGAAAAGATAGGTGGGGGACTTCTCTGCCCCAGTTACCTGGGATTTGAGTGGTTAGTGAGTGGAAAGGTAGATAAGTGGGGGTGATATCTGAATTCTAGAAATTTATATTGCTGGGACTTTTACCACTGTAATGAGAACCTAGCAGAAGACCAGCGGACACACTTCTTGTATAGACCTTGATTCTTTTCCCTTGATTCTCTCTCTGTGTGTATGTGTATGACGTGTGTATGTGCTCAGATTTCCTCTTTGCTTTAGAGATCTCTGAGCTCTTAACTATGACAAGTATGCAGGTGACTTTGAAGTCGTCCAGCACGACTCGTTGGCAACAAACAGACATGGCAAGATCAAGGTGGCAGCTTAATCACACCTAAGTGGCTGCTTTGAGCTTGGAGTAGCCACATGGGACCGGAAGTTGGTGTTCTCTGGGGTGGGGGGAAAACTGGGAGATGTGGGCAAAGTTTCTGGGGTACCCTTGACTCATCCTGTCCCTTCTCCTTTCACAGGGCAGCAAGGAGAAAACCCCCAACCCTTCCTTCACTGGAGCTCAGCTTGTTTTTATTTTTATTTTTTAAACCCCACACCCACCCCACTACACGCACACCCTCTCCCATTGTCTCAGTACAAGTTGTTTTAATAAAACGGTGCCTTTGTGGCCCAGTGTTGCCTTGCAGTCAAGCAAAAAAAAAAAAAAAAGAAAAGCTGGATTGAAAAATGTAATTTTGGGAGAAAAAATCACCTTTTTTTTTTCCTTGCAGCAGCTGGGTTAGAGGAAGAACCTTTTAGCCTCGTATGAGCTGGCCTTTCTTAGGCCATTTTTAGAATGAAATGGTGTTCAAAAGGGCTTGGATTATTTTCTGCCAGGAACTCTCCTCTGCCAGGTTTTGCCATAACCGTGGCTGGAATGAGAGTTTGAAAGGGGGGGAAAAAAAGGACAGAAAGAGAAAAACAAAAAAAAAATCGTTATTGACTTTGACCTTTTTACACCTCCCGTTTTTCTAATCTGGGCTATTTTTATTTTTGTTTTTTTACAGTGAGATTTTTTTGATCTTCAGCTACAGTAAGTTATTCCAATTTTTCTCCGTTTTTTTTCCTGCCTTTCCACTGATTTCCTTTTTATCGTTGTTGCTAGTTACTTTATTGATATTATTACTGCAGTAATGGTGGTGACTGTGACTATGATGATGTGTTGCTCATGGTGGTGATTTAAAAAAAATGACTGCTGATTTTTAACCAGATGAAAATGGAGTTTTTCTGAATGATCCTAACTGACTCTGGGCTTTTATAACCCCTTGGGGAAAAATACACATACCAGGTTTTTAAAACACATTTTTTTTAAAAAAAGAAAGTGGATTGATCACGTTTAACTCTTTTTTTCCCCTCCCTCACTGATCGCCTGGCTGCCAAGAACAGAACCTGATACCTCTCCAGAACTTACTTGAACAACTCAGGAAGTTCCTACGCTTTTTTATTTTTATTTTTCATTTTTTAATATTTTATTTCTATTCGATTTTTCAATTGTTGCTGCACTGTGTCTGTGGGGCTGCTCACTCTCTAGCAGTGACAGCCTCTCCCTGGTCAGAGGCCCCACTCACCCCTTCATGCCCTCCCAGTTCGCCATCCTGGTCTTTTCCTCTGCACTGTCCCCCATCCCCACCCACCCCTTACAAGCGCCGTCATGGATGCCCAGTCTGGAGTAACAGAGGCAGCTTCCAGCGGAGCCTTGCATGGAGCAGGGGCATACCCATCTTGGCTGATGGTAAGGGGCTGCATTGGCTTCATTCCAGGCCATCCCCTCTTAAAGGCCTTGCTTAAAGTGTATACACCTACCTGTATAGCATATCTGAGGGCACTATTCAAACCCCTGGCATCAAAAATAAGTAAAATGTCCTTTTCGGGAGCGTTATGGAATGGCATACAGGTAGTCTTGGACTTACAAGTATTTTGTTTAGGGGCCATTCAAAGTTAACTGGAAAAAAGTGGCTTACGACCGTTTTTCACACTTAACGACCATTGCAACATAGTAACATGCTCAAAATTCAGGCTCTTGGCAACTGGCATGTATTTATGACAGTTGCAGTGTCCTGGGGTCAGGTGTGACCTGCCCGATGAAGTTAATGGGAGGATACCCGATTCACTTCATGACTGCACGATTCACTTAATAGCTGCAGGGGTTCACTGAACTGGCGCAAAGCTCATAAAGGGGAGCAGAACTCGAACAACTGCCTTGCTTAGCAATAAAAATGAATGGGCTCAATTGTGGTCATAAGTCAAGGGCTACCTGTAATGCATAGATCCAGCTGCTAACAGAGATGATTGATCTTGGGAAAGACAATATATATTGAAGATTAGTAGACTCTAGTACTGGGTTAAATTGTTTCCCAGTTATTTTTTTTTAAATCTTCCATTGTTCATAGTTGTATAGAATGTAATAAAAGTTTCTTGGAATTTCAGAGCACATAGCTATAAAATAATGCAATTGCAGTCCCTGAGTTTTCTAAATGCTTCGCAAATATCACAAAATGCAGTAATTGTCTGCTGTAATATATACATAAAGCTAATTAAATGGAAAGAAGTAGAGGCAATTTAGGCATTCAGTTTCAGAAATTGTATAATAAATGTAACGTTAACCAATATACTGTGGAGAATGTGATAGACTTGCTATTCTAGAAGTTTCAGAATGCAGGAAGTTTATAACCGTGATGGCGAACCTATGGCATGCGTGCCACATGTGGCACGCAGAGCTATTTGTGTGGGCACGTGAGCCCCAGCCAAACTTACCTGCACTGTGCATGCACGCACCTCCCAGCTGATTTTTGGCCTGTTTGAGATTCTTTTTGCCCTCCTGGAGGCTCGAGGGAAACCTCTGCAGCCTCAGGAGGCTGAAAAATAGGCCTTCCGGAAATGCCGGAAGTGCTGAAATGGGCCCGTTTTCAGCCTCCCAAGCCTGCAGAGGCTTGCCTCAAATCTCCAGGAAGGCGAAAACAGCCTCAAATGGGCCGAAAATCAGCTGGGAGGCATACGCAGTGCAGGTAAAGGGGTGGGTGGGGGTGTTGCGCGCACATGCACAGGGGGTGGGGTGCATTGCATTGTGGGTGCTGGCACACGCACGCTATCGTGTTCACATGAACTTTCGGGACACCACAACAAAAAGATTAAAACTTGTAGACTCCAACTTCTAGAATTCCTCAGCCAGCCATGCAGGTTAGTGAATTCTGGGAGTTGAAGTCCACAAGTCTTAACGTTGCCAATTTTGAAGAACCCTGATGTAGAGGACCAAAATTTGTAGGAACTCCATGGGAGGCTCTGAATGGTCACAAAAAGCGAGTCAGTTACATTTGTCCCCTCTTGGGGAAAGACATCTTAAAATGTTTACGATCTAACAACAAAACATGGGAAGAAGTAGATGATTATATCTAAATTGGTCTATATCTTTCTCCATCCTCTTCATTGATCAATGATAGAGGCTTTTTAGCATAAGGGGTACTTGTTAACTAATTGTGTGATACATCTGCAAAACATTTAGCTTCTAATACAGTTTTCATGGATTCAATTCTTTCTTGGGCAAATGGAGTTACAGTGACCAGCAACTGAACAATTTTGCTGAATGGCCAAACTCATTTGTTCTGTGTCTTGTGAAGAGGCTGTAGGAAATGGGGTTGTTTAGTTTTGAGAAGATTTAACACATGGAAAGTTAAACAGAAAGTATATATCAGCCCAGAATGTAGGATTTAAATTAAAGGATTTAAAATATAGGAAGGCAGATTATGACAGAATGTATTAACAAATAGGCATGTTTGGCATTGTCATATGAGGACAGAAATTACCTGTTATTTGTTCCCTATTCCTGGAGCAGAATTTCTTGTCTCTTGTGTATAGAGTCCACATCAGCCACTGGACATCTATGAAGTAATCACGCTCTCTAAGTCTGATCTACTTTACAATTTTCAGCAAAATCTGGAGATGGAAATACCACTCAGGTCTCCTTGAAGTCCTAGAGAAAAAGCAAGAGGTGTAGACCCCACAAATAAATGTTGTGAAAAGGCTTTCCAGTAAAGAAACAGTTCCCGCCACTTGAGGCTGGCTAGGATTTTAATTCATCTTACAGATTTTTACCAGGCTGACCCAAGGCTTAGTTAAATGCAGTGAAGGCCTGATTTGAAAGAAGAAATGGGATTTTATTTCCTATCTGGCTTGGAATTCAGGCAGAAATGAAAATACATTCCACTTGTGCCCCTGTAGAAACTGAAGAGAAATAAGAGTATTTTTAACAGAAGAAGGGAGAAGCAGTGAAACAACCCGTTTCAAACAAAGCTTTTGCTTTGCTTTTCATTAAAAGAATGAGAATGTTGTTTCTTTGACACACAAGATGTGGAATGGAGCAGAAAAGTCTTAAGTAGATTTATTTAATCCTTTCTACATATAGTTAAAATCAAAGCTGTAGTTCAGTGTTTAGTCAGTATCGGGAGGCAAAGAGAAAAGAACCTTAGTCAAATGAACTAGGCACAGGGTTCAGTTGAATACTGGCAGTGAAAATCATTCCTACTTTTAATCTTGTTTCACTCATCCTCAGTGCTCTTCATGCGTGTCCATGTGCATTAAATGTGCATCTGTCCACTCTACCTGGATAGATAGCTGTGTGCTTATTAGCTGGGACTGAAGAGTTGGGATTGGCAGAGAACGTGCAGCCTGCTGGGAACTTGGTTGCAAGAAAAAGTTTGGATTCTTCATTAACCAAAGCCAATCTTCCATCCTCCACTTTGTCTCCTGCCCTTAAAAGTTTGGACAAAGACAGATGCTGCCTTTGCATTTTATTGTCAATTCCTGTCCTTGTAAGCAGCCTGAGGGGAAAATAAGTACAATATATGGATAAAGAAAATGCTACTCTGGGCCCTTGCCAAAATTGGACTGTAACCAGATAAGACTTCCTTGAGTTTGCACAAGAGTGAGATTCCAGCAGTGATAAGGTATTTGTTTGCTCAAATCATATAAAATACGTTATTTCCCGTTAATGCATAAAAAGCAACGTACAGGTATTTGAATCCAAAACAAGAATCTTGGATCTCTGCAGTCTGTCAGCAGCGCCTTAAAGAGGCCACTCCCTTTTTCTAACCTTCACAGTTCCTGCATGTAATCAGGAGAACTCAAAGCTTTCAGAGTGCTACTAGAAAGCACTCTGAACATGGCCATGTACAAAGCATCAGATACAAGTGCAGACCCTTCTAACATGTAGCCTAAATCTATGGACAGAGACTTGTGGTAATTAGTTCCTTCATATAAATCTTCCCCAAATTGGATTTGGATTGCATTCTTAATTAGAATGTCCTTACATTGAAGGTGGAGGTTAGAACATGCAGAATCCTGAAAATGTTAAGCGTCCTTTATAGATTCATCTCAATTTTAAGAAGAAATCGGAAGATTTCCTCTTGATAATGAGAGTACTTTCATTAATTGCCTCTGAACTGGTCGTCTGGGCTTCCTGCATCTGTCTTATATATGCTGCTGCTTGTATTGACCAAAGCATGTATTGAAATGGTAGATTGCGTTTTCCTGACAATGCTGCTTGGAACAGAACCAAGGTAGGAGTTGAGTTGACATTGTTCAGAAGATGTTTGATGCTGAAAAAAATATGGAAATGGAAGCAGCTTGAACTGAAGGCCTTTGCATCTTTTAGACAAAATTATTTTCATATATCCAATCCTCATAGAGCTTTTTTTAATGAGATAGTAACTATGGTAGGCTAATGGTAAAAATATATCC